TCAGTCAATCCTTGGATTGTGCTCTACACATATTATACTGTATATGTACACAAGAAGCAACATCAAGGACATTAACCATATTGTAATAAATAAAAAAAATTAAAAAAAGGGTGGTTAAGACCGAACAATTTGTTCTATGCTCACTATATACTTGGCTAATATTTTATACATCATGTAGACATGTCCTTTGGTTTGGTGGTAGAATTTTATAATTATTGGTTTTTCAGTGGCAGTTTGCTCTACTTTGCCTGCCATAAGCATTAATGATAGAATAATAACTAATTTGTTCATTTTGACTTATTTTTTTTTTGAAACAAAGTTGCTTCTTTTCCAAATGTAAAATTAGTCTAATTAACGGCTCTATCTTTAGATACTTGCATATTAGGAGGCAAGTATCTTTTATTTTTTGACATTTCCTACTAAAGTCAAATTCTATGAACTGTGAAGCTATCAGTCAGTTGCAAACTTGCAAGTACATGAGAACTAGTGTGAATTAATTTTCAAATAATAGTTTTCAAATGCTCTTTGTTACATACTTAACTCCAGAGTTTACCAGCATCAATTTTGATAGGAAGAACACACAACACATTTGTAATTCCTAACTAAAATTTACTGTAGTACTTTATTCATAATTAGCAGGTAAGCCCAGCATTTCTTGGGCAAAAAATAAGTACAAACATTAAAATTATTAGATTATTTCATACTATTATATTTACTATATATATACTATTATTTCATTCTATTATATTATATTATAATATTTGNTTAAAAAAAGGGGAAATATTTTATTATTTCTAATTAAATTTAATGATTCAGTATATAAATAAGTAAATAGGAAATAAGCCACATTGTTACCGATACATAATCTCTCATTAAAATATTTCAAGTATGATAAGAAAACCTTTAAAAACGAACATTGGTCATTTAATCTGCAACACTTGTGTTCATTACAGAATTGTTTACAAAAATTACTAATAAGTTTTTAATTATACATCTTTAAAAATTTAATTTACAAAATATAAGTAGGTCAATCACACGTTATTCGTCACATAATTCATTAACTGTAAATAGAACCACAATCATTATCTATAGGAAATGCAACCGTTCAAATAATAAATATCATAATTTTCAAATGTATGTGTTTCTGACATGCAAAGAAATAGGTTATGCTTCTTTATCTCAAAACATTACAATGCATAATAGTTCTTTTCGAAATGCTCGACTAGAGAGGGGGGACAGACGTTCCGTGACAGTGACGACGACTTTGCCGGAAATGTCGGGTCATCGGTGTAATCTACGGAGTAAAGTTTTAATTTTCAATAAAATATGAAATTAAAGATGTATTTATTATTGCTCTTTTGTTTCACTGATAAATCAGTTTTAACTAGAAAATATCCAATTGTAAAACACAAATTTTTTTGAATATCTTCAAAGTTACTTTCAAAATATTCCTCGACAAACAGAAGTGATAATAACCATAACCGGAAAGATAAGATTCAGAAACTATGCAAAACACTCATTTTCTCAATCAAACATCAATTTCTTGCATAATCCTTTCTATTAGTTAGTGTCAAGCACTCTTTGAAAATTGTAAATAGCAAATTTTAATTCTGATCAAACCTACATTGAATTAGTTGTAATAGTTTCATTGCTATGTCCTTTGTAATTTCAAATACATTATTTTTTGAATGAAATCTGGCATTGTTAGAGAAACTTTTCACTTTACACCACAAGTAATTTTCATGCATCCAAGTGATAAAATGTAGCTACAATGTAGTAGAATAAGATGGCACAAAATCCATAACTTTTATAATCATTCACAAATTCCACAGTTTATGAAAAATATAATTGTTGAATTGTTGGAATTTTATGTTACTACAACTTCTCAAATGCTCATCTTTATTGACTGATACCTATTTAAGTAAGGACAATATATTTACTATATATATACTATTATTTCATTCTATTATATTATATTATAATATTTGAGACTGCTCTGGTGTAGATTCATGTTGTCTATGATTATGAACACTTATAGCTCTAGAACTTTTTCTTCTTATTTGTGCTCTCGCAGTCTCAGCATTATGTATCAATCAATCTCAAAAATATTCACTTGAGATATGATTTTACCAATAAAAATATCAAAGAGAATAGTGAAAGAGAGTACGTGAGCCTGAACTCGCCAACTCTCTTGTGGAAGAGCAAAAAGTGGGTCTTTGCCACCTACCGGGTGATTCTCAAACTACACTCTAGTGGTACAAAAGCATGAGTGGCTGCGAGCGGTAAGAGTGCATGTGTGGCATCCTGCCGACCATGAGATTCCCCTATAATTTTTAATACATTTTTTATGAAACTTTTATAAGAAAAATATGCAGTTTTGATTAGTGGTAAATATTCCAGGGATCATAAAGATGCTACAGTTAAAATTTGGTAACAATTGGTTCAGTAGTGTTAGTTGGAACAACGAAAAGTACATTGTCTCTTTATATAGAAGTACAGATTAGTAGAATATGATAAAATGTTAATTCTACATAATTTAAACCAGTTTGAGAGTATCTGGTTTTATCCAGCACTAATAAATATATACAGTAGAACCTCGATTATCCGGACTAATTGGGGATGAAGGTAGTCCGGATAAGGAAAAATCCGGATAATCGATACAAATACTTTAATTTGTCTTTTAATGATAATACAGCACGTTTTCTTTTCGATGACATATCGGTAATATTAAAAGTAAATAGTGTATTTAAATCGTGATCAAATTTTCAAGAAACAAACGTTCGTATTACATTTGGACTACTACTGACCCAAGGACTATATACTACTAGTTTAAAGTCCTTGCTACTGAACAACGCTAACAGACTACCTATTGTTTAAAAGGCCCTCTGGTAGTGCAAGAAGACGGATTTTATAAAATAAAAAGCAGTTGAAACAGCATTTTTATGAATAAAAATTTGACAAACTATTTATTGTTTTATGACGAGTAAAATTTTTTCGTTGCGTTCACGGCTTTTAAGTAATGCATAAACCTTCGAGGCGCGAGGCCCTTCGGACCGCGAGGCATAGGCGGTGGCCCACGTCGTCCATGCCTTACGCTGCCCTTGATCATAGAAATGATGTAATTTGAATATAAATTATTTATAAGTATGTACGTCAAGTTATATTTTCATTATTACGTAAAATATATTTAAGCGTTTACGACCACTGTGCTGGGTGAGACGTTGTTGAAACAAAAAAGTTATGCATTGCATTACGTACATAAACAGTGTCATAATTCGCCAAGTGCAAATCAGCAAATTCGTAAAATTTTTGTTTATTTTAAACAATCCGGATAATCGAAAATCCGGATAATGGAGGTTCTACTGTATTTTATTTCTTTGGAATGTTTTTTGCATTGCAAAATCTTTTTGTAAGAGCATTTGTAATGTACAAGAAAGTTTGAAAGAAAAAAATACAAGTTTACATCTTGAAGGTTATGTTTATATCTGCTCATCTTTCATCCAAAAAAGCAATTTCTGTTTATCAACATCATTAAATGTGGTGTACAGTACATCCTTCTACAAATTCAATATATCAAATGTAAAATTAAATAATGCAATTTAGCATTAATTTTTTGTTTTCATTACTTATTTCACTTCAAAATACATTGTTCTTATAAGCTTTTTAACGGTCATTCATTTAAAACATCTTGGAATTTATATTTTGCAGTTTTCTTATTACTTTTTTTGCAAAAGTTTTTGGTTTTATTCATAAACACAAACATTATCCAAATTTTAAAAAGAAATAAGCACTAGTTTAGTACTATATTCTAATGATTAAAAAAAAAAAATACTACTACTGAAATTAAAATTTCCTAATGTAACAATAATTACAAACTAAAAGGAATTGACAGAAACTGTGTGGCACATAAAAGCTGAAGAAAATTGTACATAATCTATTATTATTGCTATATTTGAAGAAACCAATCAGAAATCTTACCCATGATAAAACATACCTAACTAAATAAATTAATAATAAATACAAAATTTTAAAATTTAACATCAATTTTTAATAAATGCCTTCAGCAGCATTACTAGCTATTGTCAGTAAATTACAACACCACACTGGGAAGTATGTAATGATGAACACAACCAAAAACCAATGTGGAGAAAACTAAAAACTATCGCAAGACAAACATTTTCTAATTCCTGATTTCTTCAGGTGCTATGATATGGATTTGAACCACAATTGTAATTCAAATTTATGTTTCTCTCAAAATAGCTTTTATGCTCCCATCTGGTAACTGTTATAGCACCTGAAGAAAACTGAAGGAGGAGTTAGAAAACATTTGTCAAGATAATTTTTTGTTTTCTTCACTGGTCATAGATTCTGTGTTTGTCATTAGCTGTTGTCAGGTTCAAATATAGAAAATTTCAAAGTAAGAAGCATGTTAAATTCAAAATATGATAAAACTAATTATTAACAACCTCTAAAATTAATAGTTATTAATAAATATAACAAATATAAAGATGAATGTCTATTAAAATCACACCCAGTACTTGTGTAATTAAGTACATTGTTACTTACAATATATTCATTGTCTGGCATATTTTATAATGTCTGCATTCTTAAGGTTCATGTGATTACTCAAATCCACATTTATAAATTTTGATGATTTTTTAACTGTTTGGTGAGTGAGGACGGTGATCTTTTTCAATAAAAAACACAGTCGCATAAATCTTATCTTTCAACCATGTTTCTATGTCATAATGACAAGATTTAAAAATGTGCCAATAAATAAATAGAAATTATTTTTTAAAGAGGCATCGCTTCGTTAATCTCATACTGGTGCAGAAATTAGAGTTTGTAGTTCAAACTGGCTACAAACTCAAATTTTGTAAATATTTACATTTCTTTACATTTTAATTATTATTTCATTAAATATTTTGTAAACATGTTCTATATTTAATTTATTAGACAATAGGAATTACACATAAATTAAGTATTTTAAAATAACTTACGGAGCACAGAGGGTAAGCAGGTCTTTGTCAGTGGTGTTCTGTGTTAAACCTCTAATGTATAAGTTGGTTTTGCTGAGTTGTTCTCCACCGGAAGAACTGCCGCTTCCGCCACCTGATCCAGATCCCGATCCCGAGCCGGACCCCGACCCGGAACCAGAATGGGAACCGGAGACAGGCGTCCCAGTGCCAAATACTGGCGGCGAAGCAGCGGGAACCCTCGTCGATGAATACGCCTGCAGAGGAAAAAATATCATTAGAGATGGCATTGATTTTTTTAAATAATAAAATAATATATTTTAAATTTCATGCATAATGATTTATGCAAAAAGCATTACTTGAAACATTCCTACATTTCATTTTCATACCCAAATTTTAAAAAAGCAACATGATCATAAAATATCATTGTTATTTAGATTTAACATTCAGATAACACACAATGGCTAGAACTTTACTATGGCAATAGCAGTACCTATTGAAATTCTAAGCCAAGTTATATGTGAAAAAAATTAACAATTCTTATTCAGCAAAATAAAACATAATAGTCTTGAAGGGGCCTTGCAAAAACCACGTAGTTACTTAGTTCTCAACTATTTCTATAACAGTAAAATATACAGTTTATATAATTGTATGAGCATTTTATATCATTCTGCTTAACTATCATGTAATGGTCTTTCCATTTTAAAATCTCAAATGCACTAATCACAAAAGTTAAATTTTAAACAAATTAACAGCCACAAAAAAAATGGAGAACTTGCATGGCAATTTAATCACTTTTGCAAAACCAAACACCAAGATATATTACATCAAATTTATTTTAAAAGAGAAACTTTGATTTACTATAGCCATATTAATAAAGTAAAATTAACCATCAAATGAACAGTTGACGTAAATAATTTTTCGCCAAACTTCGGGTAGAAAGAAAATTTTATCGACTAAGAAGTACGATTCTGCAAAACAGTTACGTCTTTGAAATAAATAAAAATAAAAAATATACTAAATTGTAATATTTAACTTTTGCTTTGATATGGTTAGAATGCCGATCTTTACTCTCGTATAAACCAGCAAGCAGAGTTTAAAGGCATCTTTAAATTACTTGCTAACACTATTATACATATGGCCTAAACTAGAACAAAAACAAATGCTACTAAGAAAATTTATTGAAAGTAATAAAATAATTTGAATTAAAACATTGTATATTATGACTACCATACTAGCAGTGATAATCTATGTAGTAAAGTCATAAACAACTTTACTGAATCTACAAAATAGTGTAATATTTACTTATATTCTAAATACTTGGCAGAAAGTTAATTTTTCAATTTAAAACTGATAAAAACAAAAAAACTATATTTAGAATATGCTTTTATCATTTATTATTTTATCTGTGTACGTGATTAATGATTAGACGTGCAATACATTAATGTTAATTACAATTCTTCTATCACCCCTTTTGAATTTTATCATCTTTATATACAAAAACAGTTTTTAAATAATGAAAACTGACATTTTTAACCACGAGAATTGCATGTTCACTTTATATAAAGCATACTATAATAATTCATTCAGCTTTAATAATAATTAATACATACAAGTTGATTCAATTATAGCCCAATTAGTACTCCAGCAGTTCATTTGCCACCAATAATTAAAATTTGAATGGCAAAAATTCCAAATGAGGTATTTGACTTTAACCTTTGCTATGTAAATTCAGCAGTGAGACTAGTGCCATTTAATGAAATATGTCAACTACAATTTTATCATTCGAATCTCTGTCGAAATTTTGATTAGTTTTGCATAAATCTCCAATTGGAAATTTGGGAATAATGTTTAATTTTAAGTATTAAATTATTAAAAATACTACCAAAAACAACAAAAACTTCAATAGACAATTTATAAGAATAGTGTCAACTCGAGATGAGAGTCAAATCTCGTGATTTTGATGTTACACAATGATTAAATAATCTACACACAATTAAATATTTATTTTAAGTTTTCAATGCCTTTTTTTCATTAAGATATTTAATAGTGATTTTTGAAATGATTTAACTATTTAATTTAGTTATTAAAAAAATTTGATACATGAACAAATTAAAATAAAGTGAAAGAACTTCAATTTTTAAATTCTAAAAGTCCATTTCAGTCATTTCTCTGAAAATAATAAGACGACGACAACAATGAATTAGTAAACACATTTATAAACAACTTAACCTTGAGCTGAACTTACAAATAATACATTTTGCAATTTACTACTTCAGAATTTTTTTTTTTTAAATTTGGATACTTTACTTATCTTAAAGTCGAACACCAATCTATTTAAAGTCAATAGTAAGAAAAAACAAACTGAATATTGATCTCTGGCCAACCTAGATCTTGTGTCAATCAAATTTTGATCAATCTATTGTATTATAGAATGTCTCTTCTACCAACCATAGGAACAGTTTCATCCAAATTACAAATTTATTCACAAACTGAACGCTGTCTGCTAAAGTATAAAACTTAAGAGCTATTTACATGGATGTATTAATCATATATAAGTAAGTTTTCGCAAAATTAAATAATAGAAGTAATAGAGTAGTAAGAGTCAGATGAAGCTAAGAAACCAGATATGTAGGACTCAAATTTACTTTTACAATAGCTAAAACCCGAATAATCAAGATTATAACATGCTTTTAATAACCAGGGGCCGTATTCTGGTCACTGTCTCTCGTCTCTCACAATCTGGTTGCTGATTGGCTAATCATTTGGATTAACCAATCAGCGACCGGCTTGTGAGAGACAAGAGACGGTGACCAGAATATGACCCCAAATGTTAAGGAATTAAAGAAATGAATAGTATAAATCTAAGGTAAATACTGGCAAAATATGTTGTAATATATTTAACAATATTAGTGTGTTGAAAAAATTCTAATCAAATGTAGAAATTTAGCAACAAAAAAACATTTTTTTTTGACAGGTTTTAAGCAGAATGATTGGCTTATCCGGAGTAGTAACTTCTTGAAATTTTACTAATTCTACTCTACACTAAATTCCCTTTCAAATTATACATAATAAAATCTCATCCCCAAAGTTAAAAATGAACAAGATATATTTTTATGTAATTTCTACATTAAATCAAATCATTTTCTAGTTCACTTAAGAGTTGTCTAACGTCTGAAACTTGAATCTGAACTCTATATACATACCAAATTGGAATACATGTATTTTTTTACTTTATTCTTGCATATTAAATTTGATTTTTTTAAGGATTTTACATTCATAATTTCAAAGAGTTGAAAAATAAAAAAACCAACAACAACAAAAATCCAATTAAGAAAGATTGCACTTCCAACAATGTGAAAATAACTGACAAACAGTTATCAAAACTTAAACAGAGTACAGTAAACAAATTTATAACAACTTCTAGGTATTTATAGTTCAAAACCACAAAATATTTTTATACACAGACATTCTCTAACTGTGTTTTTGGAGTCTTATTTATTTGGTAAACCGATGTGTAGAACACCTCATACAATATTATTCTATGCTCCTAAGTTATTTTCTGTTGCAAAAATCAAATACGTAGTAAAATAATTCAAAAGCAAATTATCTCAAATTGTCTAGAGAAGTATTTATTTAAAGAAATGAGTAGAAATTGCAACAATATTTTTGTGGTCGGCTGTTGCTACATAACTTTATGCTATTCACTTTGAATTTCACGAATTAATAACAAAAAATTATCCTTTTTTTTTAATTGAAACTTTGTACTTAGATCATCTTTTGAAACAACACTTTTTCAAGTTATTTCCTTATTAATTTGCAAAATACAATTCTCTTGTAGCAGAAACAAAACTCTCTTACAATCACAATCAAACTAATACTAGTATTGGGTCGTGGCAAAATTTGTATGGGACATACCAACTTTTGTCAGAAGTGTCTCCTATTTCTACTAAAAGAAAAGTAAACAATTTGATAGTCCAAAAAGTGTTTCATTTAATTAGTCATACTGGATAAATACACTGAAAACTGACCTGGAAAAACTGTTTATTATTTTTAAATCTGATTTTGCACAGAAAATCTGCAAAGAAAGGCTTCTTAGCTATAGAGAGTAAATATTGCTCTTTATGTACTTTACAATGAAAGAGGACTTTGAACAGAGATATGAAAAAAAAATTATGATAAATTATCTAGTAGTACCCACTTTTTGTTTTTGCAGTTAGTCAACCCTTGATTTAACCACAAGTCATTCAAGTTATTATTTAACTAATTGAAATCATTAGATTAGAATATAACAAGATAGAGGCAACAATCATTTTTTGAATTTATCATCATCTAAATAGCAAAATAAAATGAAATACAATTTTGAAGATTATTAAAAAATATATTTTTTGTGGTAAATTTCTCATATATCACACTATGTGGCTAGATCATCATAGTTTGGTTCATTTATTAACACACATTTTCATAAATATAAATCTTTAAGGCAAACATCTCCATCTGCAATTTATTTTAACCACACAGGCAATTTCGATTGATACATATCTATTGTAAAGCAGAAAAGATAAATCGTAACTCTCACCATAGCAAAAATTCATCTGCTGTCCAGCATAAATAAATTAAACGATAGAGTTAAAAAGTTTAAACACAGATATAGATAAATTATCAGAAACATAAACATTGGTATCACTAGTAGTATTGGAAGCAAAAGTTTGAGATCAAAGTTTGCCGAACAATTTTAAACAGTCTACAGGAACATAGCTGTTAACTTGTGGAGTTTCACATGTCAGAAGCAGTTTCATTCTACAATAGGAAGCACCTATTTAACCGAATTAGCAAACATTAATTATATGAAATACACAAAAAAATAAATAAATAGATAGATAACAGAAAAGTAATGATCTAGTATTAAATAAGTAATACTTCCAACAAACCAAACATTTTAAATAATTTCTGAACAAGAATTTAACATCATACAAAGCTTATATTAAAATAAATAAAAGAAAAACCTTAACACCTAAGCATGCTTATGAGATGATGTGTGTTTAAAATCTTTCCTCCGACCCAAAGAATATTAAAGTACTGCTACAAATTCTTGTATATCATCATCAAGAATCATGCTTTTCTTAAAAAACTTCAAATTTTCATACATATATTTTAAAACGCATTTATAACAGGGGAAAAAAAGCTATGTATTCTGTTATATATCTTAAATTAACCCGTGTAAATTTTATTTATGTAATATAAAATGAAGGCAATG